CAATCCCAGCTACTCGGGAGGCAGAGGCAGGAGAATTGCTTAAAACCAGGAGGTGGAGGTTGCAGTGTGCCAAGATCATGCCACTGTACTCCAGCCTGGGCAACAAGAGTGAAACTCCATCTCAAAAAAAAAAAAAGAGGAGAAATTTGTTTGTGTTCCCTCCTCACCCTGCTTTCTCACTGAGATTTAGGTTGAAGAGGAATTAGCCAGGTGAAGAAGGGGAGGTCTTCCAAGTAGGCAGAATAGCTTGTGGAAGTCTTGAAAAAGTATAATGACTTGGATGAAAAACAAGAGGCCCAAAACAGTTAAAGCATGGTATCCAGGGGAGTGGAGAAGAGGCTGGTGAGGAACAGGGGGACAGATGGCATTAAGTTTCCTTTTATACCACGTTAATAGAGTGGGTCAGAGCATAGCATATGCAGACAATTATCTGAGAGAGAAGATTCTAAGAAATTTTTTTTTGAGGCGGAGTCTCACCTTGTCGCCGGGCTGGAGTGCAGCGATGTGATCTCGGCTTACTGCAATCTCCACCTCCCAGATTCAAGCAATTCTCTTGCCTCAGCCTCCTGAGTAGCTGGGATTACAGGCACACACCAAGACACCCAGCTAATTTTTGTATTTTTTTAGTAAAGACAGGGTTTCACCATGTTGGGCAGGATGGTCTCGATCTCCTGACCTCATGATCCACCTGTCTCAGCCTCCCAAAGTGCTGGGATTAAAGGCGTGAGCCACCGCGCCCGGCAAAGACATTTTTTTTTAAAGAGTACTCTCTCAAATAAAAAAAAAGTCCCTCTCAAATAAAACTAATTCTATTTCCCTCTATTTCATGTGGGACTTTTAGAAGGGGGATGTCTCACTGATGTTATACACTGTTTTACTTAACATTTTGGAAAGAATTGCCTCTGACTTCAACTCAAGAAAAGACTTCTTCGTTACAAACGTAATCAGTTTTTGTAATGGTGTCAGCAAATAAAAGGATGCTTATTATTTTTTTAAAAAAAGAAGGGGGATATCTCAAAAATAAAACAACTTCAACAATTTACTCTAAGGTGTCACAACTCAAAAAGGGTGTAAATCACTCCTTCTTCTGAATTTTAATAGTGCTTTGTATCTTCCTTTTAGCACTCATCACTTTCTGCCTGGAAGTATACTATCTGTGTCTTATCTTTGTTGGTTTACCAGTTCCCTCTGAGGATGAACCATGTCTTATTCATGAATTTTGTAAAATTATTTTACTGGCCAGGCATGGTGGCTCATGCCTGTAATCCTAGTACTTTGGGAGGCTGAAGCAGGTGTATTGCTTGAGCTTAGGAGTTCCAGACCAGCCTGGGCAACATGGAAAAACACCATCTCTACAAAAAAATACAAAAATTAGTCAGGTGTGGTGGTACGTCCCTGCAGTCCTAGCTACTCGGTAGGCTGAAAATGGGAGGATCTCTTGAGCCCAGGAGGCGGAGGTTGTAGCGAGCTGAGATCACAACACTGCACTCCAGCCTGTGTGGCAGAAAGACTATTTAATTTAAAAAAAAAAATTATTTTGCAACTCACTCTTGAAAAGACAAGGCATCAAGAGTTCCTAGCACATAATAGATATTCAATAAATATTGCACAGCATTGTGAAGTTACATGACATACAAGTTGAAATTCTAGTCTTAGAGATATTCTAATCCAGAATTCCTCAACCTTTGTGTCTGATAAAAACTATGAACTCTCTTCAGAAAAATTCACCTACAGGAAACATTTTGCATATAATTTCAGGACCCACCATGCCTAGACGAGGAAGGTTGACTTACCCAAAGTCAGAAGGCTGAAAAGTGGCAGAACCAAGCCTAGAACACAACTTTCCTTGTTCCTAATTCAGCAGTCTTCCCACTACAAAGGAACAATTTTAGTAGGGCATTTGTTTCCTACTGGGAGCCTGCCTGATACAGGCTTGATATGTGGTAATGTTCTTCTCCTGAAATTCCTACTGCAAGGACGATGCTCAGGAGAACATGGCAAGGTTAGTGGTTTCTAAAGCCCAAATTCAATGGAATTGGACCTTGCCAAGAAGAGAGAGGCAAATAGGAAATATGTGTGGTTGCATGGGAGCATCAAAATAAGCTAAAGAACCAAGAGATATTGAAGTCTCCCCAAAATCTCCCCCACTGTACCGTTTACAGGAAGTGATAGACTTGAGATTGAAAGCCAGGTCTTCTACCTTGCCTCAGCTTCTCAAGTGGCTGGGACTACAGGCACATGCCACCAAGCCCGGCTAAATTTTAGAAATTTTTGTAGAGACAGGGTCTCCCTATGTTGCCCAAGCTAGTCTTCTGGTTCTGGGCTCAAGTTGTATCTACCCCATAAGAAAATCCTCTGCACACACATAGAAATCTAACTGGAACCAAAGAAATGGGCTAAATAATTTCATAATGCTTAGAACTAATACCCAGTTATCTGGGTTAAAGGATTCAAGGAGCACATAATATATTTTATATTTATTTGTTTGTTTATTTATTTATTTATTTTTGAGACAGAGTCTCGCTCAGTTGCCCAGGCTGGAGAGCAGTGGCATGATCTTGGCCCAGTACAACCTCTGCCTCCTGGGCTTGAGTGAGTCTCATGCCTCAGCCTTCTGAGTAGTTGGGATTACAGACATGTGCCGCCACGCCCAGCTAATTTATATATGTATATATATATATATATATTTTTTTTTTTTTGAGACAGTCTTGCTTCGTTGCCAGGCGCCAGGCTGGAGTGCGGGGGCCCGATCTTGGCTCACTGCAACCTCCACCACCCGGGTTCAAGCAATTCTCCTGCCTCAGCCTCCTAAGTAGCTGGGACTACAGGTGCACACCACCACGCCCAGCTAATTTTTGTATTTTTAGTAAAGACAGGGTTTCACCATGTTGGCCAGGATGGTCTCAATCTCTTGACCTCATGATCTGCCCACCTCGGTCTCCCAAAGTGCTGGGATTATAGGCATGAGCCACCGCATCCAGCAATTTTTATATTTTTAGTAGAGATGGGGTTTCGGCTATTTTGGTCAGGCTGGTCTTGAACTCTTGACCTCAAGGGATTTGCCTGACGTGGCTTCTCAAAGTGCTGGGATTAAAGGTGTGAGCCACCACACCTGGCCTATTTTAGATTTGAAAATACAATAAGAATCAGCCGGTTGGGCATGGTGGCTCACACCTGTAATCCCAGCACTTTGGCAGAGGGAGGCAGGTGGATCACGTGAGGTTGGGAGTTGGAGAACAGCCTGACCAACATGGAGAAACCCCTTCTCTACTAAAAATACAAAATTAGCTGGTCATGGTGGCGCATGCCTCTAATCCCAGCTACTTGGGAGGCTGAGGCAGGAGAATCACTTGAACCCAGGAGGCAGAGGTTGCAGTGAGCGGAGATTGTGCCATTGCGTTCCAGCCTGGGCAACAAGAGCAAAACTCTGTCTCAAAAAAAAAAAAAAAAGAATGAGTTATCCCAGCAGCACTTTGGGAGGTCAAGGCAGGCAGATCACTTGAGGTCAGGAGTTCAAGACCTGGCCTGGTCAACATGGTAAACCCCCCCCCTACTAAAAATACAAAAATTAGCCAGGTATGGCAGCACACACCTATAATCCCTGCCACTTGGCAGGCTGAGGCACAAGAATCACTTGAACCTGGGAGGGAAAGGTTGCAGTGAGCTGAGATCACGCCACTGCACTCTAGCCTAGGTGACAGAGTGAGACTCCATCTCAAAAAAACAAACAGCCAGACATGGTGGCTCACGCCTGTAATCCCAGCACTTTGGGAGGCTGAGGCGGGTGGATCACCTGAGGTCGGGAGTTCGAGACCAGTCTGACCAATATGGAGAAACCCTGTCTCTACCAAAAATACAAAATTAGCCAGGCATGGTGGCACATGCCTGTAATCCCAGCTACTTGGAAGGCTGAAGCAGAAGAATTGCTTAAACCCGGGAGGTGGAGGTTGCAGTAAGCCATTGCACTCCAGCCTGGGCAACAAGAGCAAAACTCCGTCTCAAAAACAAAAAAAAACAGAATCAGTATTTTGGCTGAAAATGTCAGTCTAGCTCTACTTGCCACAAATCATTCACTCAACTAAACTGAATTAGCATTTCTACTATGAGGTCCATAGTGAAGTAAGTATACTATTAGGAAGATTTTTTTTTTTAAGTATTACAAACAATAAAATCAGGCCAGGCACGGTGGCTCATGTCTGTAATCCCAATGCTTCCAGAGGCTGAAGCAAGAGGATCACTTGAGGCAAGGAGCTTGAGACAAGCCTGGGCGATACAGCAAGACCCTGTCTCTATAGGAAATTTTTTTAATTAGATGGGCATGGTGGCGAGAACCTGTAGTACCAGCTACTTGGGACGCTGAGATGGGAGGATCGCCTGAGGCCAGGAAGTCAAAGCTGTAGTGAGTCGTGATCATGCCACTGCACTACAACGTGGATGACAGCAAGACTGTCTCAAAAAAAAATTTTTTTTCAAACCATTTGCTTTTTTTTTTTTTTTTTTGAGACAGAGTTTCACTCATGTTACCCAGGCTGGAGTGCCATGGCGCGATCTCGGCTCACCGCAACCTCCGCCTCCCGGGTTCAGGCAATTCTCCTGCCTCAGCCTCCTGAGTAGCTGGGATTACAGGCATGCACCACCATGCCCAGCTAATTTTTTGTATTTTTAGTAGAGACAGGGTTTCACCATGTTGACCAGGATGGTCTCGATCTCTTGACCTCATGATCCACCCGCCTCGGCCTCCCAAAGTGCTGGGATTACAGGCTTGAGCCACCGCGCCCGGCCACCATTTGCTTTTTACTATGATAACCTGGCCTAGGGATAAGATTGGAAGTTTGTAGAAACATCTCTGTCTGGAAATTCTAAGCTAATCACTGGCAAGGATTGAAGGGCAACTCTATCATTTCTAGCTCCAATATTATCCAAACTATACATATCTGATCTTCAGGTTTTTGCAAAAGCTGCACATTACCCTTTTCCAAAAGACTCTCCTTGCCTCTTACCTCTTCTGCTTTAATTAGGTGCTTGTACTTTCCAATGCCATGGGTGGGTTTTGTCTTGTAGGGCCGACTACTACTTAGCAGAATGCCACCTAAAAGAGAGAAAATAAAACAAACTTGTTTATTTGCTGTCATTATTATTGTTGTTTTTAAGATACAGGGTCTTGCTGTCACCCCAACTGGGATGTAATGCCATCTCATAGCTCATTGCAGCCTCAAACTCCTGGGTACAAGACAATCTTCTGCCTCAGCTCACGCCCCACCCCCGACCCCGAGTAGCTGGGATTACAGGCATGTGCCATCATGCCCAGCTAATATTTTTTATTTTTTGTGGACCTGGGGTATTTCTATGTTGCCCGTGCTGGTCTGGAACTCCTTCCACCTCAGCATCCCAGGATGCCAGGATTATAGGTGTGAGGCTCCACGCGTAGCCTGGACCGCAAATAAATAAATAAATAAATATATATATATATATATAAAATATATATATTAATATATACTTTGCTGGTATTATATATATGAAATCCATATATAACAAGGTAACATTAAGGATTTTTAAAAATAATCTTGGAGTAGAGATCTTTCTAAGCATGAAACACAATCTAGAAATCAACTATTAATAAACTTAGCTATATAAAATGTTAAAACATCTATTCAACAACAACAAAAAAAAAAATAGGCCGGGCGTGGTGGCTCATGCCTGTAATCCCAGCACTTTGGGAGGCCAAGGCGGGTGGATCATGAGGTCAGGAGTTCGAGACCAGCCCGGCCAAGACGGTGAAACCCTGTCTCTACTTAAAAAAAAAAAAAAAATTAGCTGAGCACTATGGCGGGTGCCTGTAATCCCAGCTACTCGGGAGGCTGAGGCAGGAGAACCACTTGAACCCAGGAGGCAGAGGTTGCAGTGAGCTGAGATTGCATCACTGCACTCTAGCCTAGGTGACAGAGTGAGACTCCATCTCAAAAAAACAAACAGCCAGACATGGTGGCTCACGCCTGTAATCCCAGTACTTTGGGAGGCCAAGGCGGGTGGATCATGAGGTCGGGA